ATTTATACTTTGATTTACTTCAGTAGCCTACAAACATATATAGGGGCATCTCAAGAGGGTCTCCTCTGCTTGATCAGAGCAAACTCTGTGCAATTCAATAGGCTCTCTGAAAATACTGGGGTTCAGTCCTCGTTCAGACTTCTCACTGAAATCTCTCCTCTCCCAAATTAACTTTCTTGCTAGGTCTTTAGGATGCTTGTATAATTCACCAAAGCAGTATCATGTTTGCTCAAAAACAATTCAGTGTGCATTTTCATTGAGGGAAGGAAGCTTCTCTTGTCAGCATGGCCTTGTCCTTGACCCTTTCAGAATAATACATCCCACCATAATTATAAAAAGCCTAAGCTCAGCTTGCAATACAAGAGAAGCAACACTGGATATGCATGGTGCTGCCCTGCAGGAATTACAAGTCTGATGATATCCTTTTGCTCCAAATATGAAGGGATGTAGGAAGTCTGCCGATTTTATGTTCCTCACGCTATACATACACATTCAAGTTAACTCTCTCAATATGCCAGTGGTAGTTACTATTATTTCCTTTTACTAGATAAGGATACTGAAGCTTAGAGTGGTTAAATAATTTGTTTAAGATCACAGAGGGAATTCAAAAGAGCAGGAATTTGTCTAATCCTTTTGAGCTATTAAGTTAACCCCTTTAGCTATTAAGTTAATCCATTAAATTAATCCCTTAGGCAATAATAATAATAATAAGTAATACACTAACATTTAAATAGTTCTCACTATGTGATAGACACAGTTCTAAATCCTTTACACATATTAACAATGCTGTGAAGTAGGCTGTTCTATTATTGTCATTTGACACAACTCTTTGAAGTAAGAAGTATTACTCTAGCTATTTCATAAAGAAAAAACTAGAAACAGAGAGGTTATAAAACTTGACAAATGTCGTACAGCTGGGAAGTGAGGAAGCAGGATTTGAAATGGATATTTTTGTGCTTAAGCTCTATACCATATTGCCTCACATTTAAAACATAACTTATTCTGTTTTTATCTCACAAGATTTGGTTTGTGGCTACCACACTGAACACCTTTAAAAAAAGAACCTAAAAACCTTTTTGGCAATTTCCACATCTGCAGTTTTTATTACTACTGCAGTTTTCATTTGTTAAAAATGAGGCA